TTTACCTCCCTTTCTATTTTTGTATTAAAGGAGTTGAGGAGTGATTTTGTACTACACGTGTATTTGAATGCATGTGGTGTGTTGTACTTATAGTTTTAGGCCTAATGGATATGAGTTGGGTGTTAAAAATGGCTATTAGCACTTGTTTTGGGTTTTGGACATCTCTTTATGTGTGAAAGTTGTGAAAAGTATAAAAAGGTATTCGGGTGTCTAATTTTCTGGTGTGACTTGTTTTAAAAGTGAAACTCATGCCATTAGCTAATTTATAAAAAGAGTTTTTCATAGATACTTAGATCATGTCACTCAAATGTCAGACGAAGAATTGGTTTCGGTGTCGCGGTGCGTGGCACAGAGAACAACATGCTGCAGTGCGGTGTGCACAAGCTGCAGCGCATTGCTTTATTTTTCAGCAAACTTGATATGTTTTAATTATTTTTAATTTCTTTCACTTCTCAGAAGTATCTCATGCTTTCATAATTTGATTTTGCTCTGATTAAAGAGTTAATGAATGGATTAAACTCATTTTAACTTGTGAAAACTTGGGATTCTTTTGTTTTGAAAATTATATTTTAAAAATCAGAGTGTTTCAACTTGGTAACTAGAGAGTTAATCTCTTGACTATTGTGGATTTGAGTTGTAAATGGTGATTAGTAGAGTAGATATTTCACATAGTAGGGTGAACACGCTGACAAGTCAACGAACAATGAAGGTCATAATTATGGGATGTGAAGGAAATAGATTCATTGATGACAAGTGGAGAGATTTGAACTCATTGATATTTTTGTGAAAAAATTAATCTTTTAATCCTTCAATTTTAATTCACTTATAACTTAGTTTTTCAATTATTAGTCGCTGTGACTCAATCTCTTAATCCTTCAACTTTTAACTCACTTATAACTCGGTCCTTATTTTTTAAATTTTTTTTAAAAGTTATCCTTATCAAATAAGAGGGATAAAAGAAATTCTCATGTATTACTCTAAAATACCTTCATCTTGCTCTTTGATGTGGGATTTAAACTAACATAAGAAAACTAACAAAAGTTCAAGGATTGAATTATAAGTGAGTCAAAAGTTGAGGGATTAAGTCATAAGGCAGTCATAGTTAAGGGACTAAATTGTAGTGAGTGATAATTAAGAGACTGAATTATAAGTAAGTTAAAAGTTAAAGGATTAAAAGATTAATTTTTTTTATTTGTACTTTCATAACATGCGTCTATCACTTGAAATTAAGTTTAACTCCAAGTGATTATATGATGAGATTTAAACTCATTTAGATCAGCTTCATACCTAGAGCATGCTTCAACGTCATCTTCTGCTTGCGCACTCTTTCCATAGCAAGAGATGAGAGAGAATAGATTTAAGAAGAGAGAGAAAATTCTTGGGCCTGCACAATTAATGTAATTTATTTGAAATTAATAAAAGGAGTCAAATTGTGATAAATTTAATTGTTCAAGCTTAAGATGTACTAAATACAAATTCAAGATTTAAATTGTTCCTAGCCTTATAATTTAAAATTTAAATTACTATTTAACTCAATATAAATTAATTTTCATTCTTGACATGAAATGTGAAGTGTTAAAACTTGGAACAAAGCATTTTAATTTTTTTTTGGAAAAGTATATTTTTAGAAAGTTACCTTTTCAATTTCAAGGGAAATTAGCACACAATATATTCATATAAAAAGGTAGTAACTTTGTAAACATTGGTTTGAAAAAAAATGGATGCATTTTAGCTTGGATGGTTTATAATACCTTGTTGTATAACATTGATTAAGTTGATTTGTATTCTCCAAGATAAAATGTCAAGGTCAACAATCTCACTACTTCTCAACAAGAGATGGAGCAAAGAAGTGTTTGGTCATACAAAGTTTTAGAAAAAAAAGCTCCTTAAAAGATCAGAAGGTATAAATTGAGCTCTTGCTAATGGTGGACATAAAGATCACTTGATAAAGCTTTAAAAGGATTTATGGGTTGAATTGGAATAGGTTTTACTACAAGATATTATCCTTTAGGCTCAAAAGGCAAGGAGTAATTGGGCTCTCTTTGGGACCAAAACTCTCGATATTTTCACTCGATAGCAAATAGTAGAAGAAAGTCTAATAAAGTGGGGGCTTTTGCAATGATGGAGGCCAATGGGTTTATGGCGACTATCAACTTAAAAGAGATGACTTCTAATTTCTTTACCTCTTTCTTCTCAGATGATAAGCCTACTAGACTGAACTTAGAGAGCATATGTACTTACCCTCACTTAGATGATGTTATTCTAAGTAATTTTGCTTGATGGTTCTGAGATTTATGAAGCCATTAAATCTATGGGAGCTATGAAAGCTCTGGGGTCGAATGGTTTTGGTGCCATTTTTTGCCAAAGCCAATGAAGTATGGTTAGTTCTTCAGTATGTAGCTTTATAAAAAATTTATTTCTTCAACCAAAAGCTATTAGAGATGTAAATAGTACATTGCTCGTTTTTATTCCTAAAAAAATTTGCCTAAGACAATTCATGATCTTTGCCTTATAAGTCTTTGTAATATGATATATAAAGTTCTTACAAAGATTATTACTAGATGCATGAGATTGTTGCTTCTGAATATTATTTCTCCTTACCAATGCAGTTTTGTTCCTAGTAGACATAGTTCAAATAATATCATTGTGGCTCAAGAAGTAATCCATCTATGAGATCCATAGGGGGAAAAGAGGTTTTATGGCCATCAAAATTGATCTTGAGAAGGCATATGATCGATTAAATTAAAAGTTTCTCACCAAGTGTCTTAAGGATCTTTATTTTCCACCATACAGGATTAGTCTGATTCAGAATTGTGTTTTATCCTCTTTTATACAGCTATTATAGAATAGCATGAAGAGTGGCTCTTTTATTCTTTCTCGAGGAGTTCGTCAAAGGGATCCTATTTCTCCTTACCTATTTGTCATCTACATAGAACGGCTTGGCCATCTCATAACTTAATTGGTGGAGGAGTTGAAATGGACACCTATTAAATTTGGTAAGATTGGCCTACCCATCTCTCATTTGTTTTTTGGCTGATGATATATTATTGTTCACAAAGGCTTTTATAATTCAAGCCACTGTGATAAAAAGTTATCTTGATACTTTTTGTGATTATTTTGTTATGAAAGTGAATGCCACTAAACCAAAATATTTTTCTCTAATAATATTCCTAGTGGTCGTAAAGTAGAGCTTATTCTTCATTAGATTTCTCTAGACCTAAAGATCTAGGTAAGTACTTGGGTGTCCTTTTGCATACTCAGCTGGTTAGTAAAGATACTTTCTTTGAAATTATTGATAAAGTTAATAAGCAACTCTCTAATTAGAAGGCCTTTGTTCTCTTTATGACAGGTAGAGTGACCCTCGCTTCTTCGATTACTTCTACTATCGTAGGTTACACAATACAAACTTCTCTAATACCTACTAGTACTTGTGAGACTCTTAACAAGTGTAATAGAGACTTTATTTGGGGCTTAACGGAAGACACTTGGAAGACTCATTTGATCTTGTGGGATCAAGTTTGTGTTAGTAACATGCTGGACTGGGTCTCTAACACACTCATACCCAAAATCAAGCTTTCTTGATGAAACTAGGGTGGATCTTGGTTAAGAAACCTAATGAACTATGGGTTAGAGTCATTCATGCAAAGTATAAATGTGGATCTAACTTGCTTCCTAACATTCAAAAGAAATGGCATAGTTCTAATAACTAGGCTGGGATTAAAAGTACATGGGATAATGTAAAGGAAGGACTAGAGAGAATGAATAATGGTATTGATCTCTAATGGAAGTGGGAGAATCATGGCAACTTCTCTCTTCGTTCAGCTTATAATGCACTATGTTCTTCACCTCATTCCAATGATTTTAGTTAGAGAAAGTCTGAAGATAAAAACTCCTCAGAGATGTAGGACCTTCTTATGGCTCTGTGTTCACAATTTTCTATTAACAAATGAAGTTAGATACCGTAGGAAAATGATGAAAGATAAAAGTTGCTCTTGGTGAAATGATGAACAAGAGGATCTTATACATGTATTACGTGACTGTCCTATGACTTATAAACTTTGGTATGATTTAATTAGCCCTTTTTAAGATGCCATTTATTCTTCTCTCTTGAGCTTAAATCTTGGCTTGAATGGAATTTAGTTCATTCGGCTTCTATTCTTTTGATGACTGGAGTATGATATTCACTATTATTTATTGGCTTATTTGTAGATGACGTAACTCTCGAATTTTTGAGAATAAGATGGAGCACAATGAATCTATTCATGCTAAGCTCTTGTCATCTTTCAAAGCATGTCTAATCTAAGTATAGCTTATCGGCAAGTGAATTTGTATGGTCAACCTCTAAGTAGTAGTGTGATCAATTGGACGCCTCCTCCTAAAGATTGGGTAGTGATAAACATGGATGGATCTTTTGACCCGATTTCTCAACATGGTGGATGTGGTGGGGTTTTTAAAAATAAGAAAGGAAAGTTTATTTTTGGGTTTACTCTTGCTCAAGTAGGTATGGATTGTTTAATGTTGAATTATGGGTGATTCTTATAGGCATCAAACTCGCCTGCGATCTGGAGTATAAAAAGTTTTATTTGCAACTGACTCAATGGATGTAGTTAACTTAATTAAGGGTGGGGATATTGCTCTTCACAAGGAAAGGACCTGATTGCAGAGATTCGTTCTTCTCTTCTTCAAGAATGGCAAGTCTTAATCGCTCACGTCCGCCGTTTTGCTAATAAGGTTGCAGATTTTTTGGCTCGTGAAGCTCTACACCAATTACCAGGTTTTCATATTTTAAGTGATCCTTGTAGTATTAGTAATTTTTTTTTCAAGACTCTGTAAGCTTCAGCAACTAGTTTGCTTCCTTATATATATATATATATATATATAAAGAATACGGAAATTGTCCCTGCCTTTGTTAACTTCCCTATATCAGTTCTCACCATATATAAAGATTCATCGATCACATTAGACAAAAATTGCAATTAAAACGAATAATCTTTCAAGAATAATAATAAGAAAAAAGACATAAATTTGCGCAGAATCCCAACGCCCCCATCAAGTAACCCATATATATATATATGGCATGACCCCAGATCATAAATATAATTAATCATCACCCTCCTATACGGCTATACCTAACGTTCTTTCCTTATGTAATACAATTGTTGAATTGCATCATTAATATGATCATTCAATAACAGAATGCAATGCTCACTAGCAAGACGGTTACTGCGAGGGGCAAAATGTGATGAGGTAATTGGAGCCGGAACACGTGCAAGTACTGGAAGCGTCGTCGTATGCGTAACTGTAAGCGGTTGGGCACGCGCGTTTGAACATCTCCGAGTACTGCGTCGGTCCACATGTCGCCGGCGTGGAGTGATCACCGGTGCAGCAGAACTCCGGGGTGTTAAAGGCCGCGCATGCGCTCTTGCACGCCACCACGGAAGGCCCATTCCTGACCTGTAACTCACTGGGGCAGTTGGCATTTAAATCTGCAACACACCCCGCGTACTGGCAGTCACCGGTTCCCCCGGTTGCCTTCACACCCATCCCCACATTGTAACCATCGACCAGGCTCACGTCGTAGAAATCCTTAGGATTACCAGGCGTTCCGAGGGTGAACTCAGCGAGCGTAGCGGGAGGAGCGCCGCCAGAGGAGCATCGGAGTGCGCCGCAGTCGCCGGTGGAGCAGTGACCGTTGCCGGAGGACTCAAAGTTGCAGGAGGTTCTGGCCCAGAAGCGTCCGGACCAGCCAGAAGGGGCGGCGAGTTGACGAGAGGATCCCGGTGCCAAGGTGAATCCACCGTCGCCCAGAGTAGCAGCTCCATTCCCCGAAAGTGTAGCAGGCCATACTGTATAGCTGCAACGATTTTCAGGGTGAATACCGTGGTTGAACCTGTATTGAAACCTGCAAATCCATCCACAAGAACACAAAATTCAATTATTGTAAAAGGCAGGGAATGGCGTGTATATTTTGTCTATTAATTTACCATAACGATTCATGATATTCTCTGTATACGCGTGGATCAGAGAATCGCATCGCAATTAATGTTTAAATATTATGTATGATGTGTGTGGGCTAACAATATAATATGTGAGATGTGACCCAAGTATACCTCATATAAGCCGAGGGTTTGACGATGGGTTTAAGAGAAGGAGGGAATTACCTGAGACAAGAAGGGAAACAGAAAGAGATAGGAAGGAAGAGCCATTGGGACTAGCGAGACAAAAAGGAAGGCCAGAGAAGGTCGTGTGGAGTGGAGGTCACGCTTAGAAGGACTGCATTTATACTCTTTCATCATGCTTTTTCAAAAAAATAATTTATTAAAAATAGTAAATTTATAGGTCATGCCAGTGTAATAATAGGCACCGGGCCCGTGAGAAGTGAGAACACACAACTCAAGATGTCGTCCGTCCGTAACAAGAAGTTGTATCTTGGACTCTTGGGTAATATATATCTCTGCCAAGCAAAAGCTAATTAAATACTTGCAAATTGTTTTTTTTTTTTTTTGATAAAAAAGTTGATGTACGGGGAACAAGGTAGAACAGAGTCTTACTCAACCACGAGGATGCTCAACAGAAGCTAGCTTCCATGAAGCTAGAGCTGGTTGGAATCTTTTGAATGCTTCCAAAACCTTGGCTAAATTTCCGAGGAGATCTAATAACGGAAGGTAATGGTTTATGCCTAGATATTGATGGTTCCTAAAAGGATGGTAGCTTTTAAGTGTGGAGGTGTGATCTGAAATAGGAATGCTCAGTGGGGTGCTGATTTCTCTTCCAATGTTGGTCATTATCCACTAGCTATTACTGAGATTATTGGTATTATTAAAGGATTTAACATGTGTTGTCCACTCAATCTACAGAATGTACATGTGTTTACTATTGTGCAGAAGCTGTTAATCTTCTAACCAGATCTAATATTAGTAACAACCCTTTCATGGATGTGATTGACCAAGCTAGAATTGTCTATATCATTTTCGGATTGTGTCTTTGAAATTTTATGCATAGGGAGGTAAATTTTTATACTCATTATCTAACTCAAGAGAGTTTTAAATGTTGTAGGGAGCTTTTGTGCTGTTGATCAATCACCAATTTTTTGTCAAGAGGTGATAGATGACGCGAAGATTAGGTTTCTTTGATGTAATTTGACTTTTTTTTTTTTTTGTTTTTAGTCTGGGATTATGTACTCGTTTTAATTAAAAAGATAAAGGAAAAGGCAAGCAGGAGGTAGGAAATGGGAGGAAAGCATCAAATAGTGGGACGACTGTCTCGGGGTCGGGGATGATTTGGAGAACGACGCCGTCAGAGGCAACACCCCACTCGCTAACAACTACGCGTCACAGTCGCCGCCACTCTTCCCCAACCACCGAACTCCCATGCTCCCCCCGTATATAACTAATCACCCAACATTCGTGGACACGTTTTCCTTCTCGGTTTAGTATTAGTCGAGTAACCCCCACGAGACTCTAATCCAACAGAACTTGAATTGCAATTTGGCAAGATATTCCACATTCCTTTCCCTTTCCTCCATAAGATAAATTAAAGGATTTAAATCCTCTAAAATTGGGATTGGTGAATTTCAGTGAAGTTTTCTTTTTTAAATATTTTTATCATTTTATTATTTTTTTATAAATTATAAAATCTTCTCTCTCTTTCCTAAAAAGGAAAACTTGACAAAAATTCACCAATCTCAACTTTAGAGGATTTGAATCTTAAATTAAAACATGCAACATTCATTCATTGCTGAAGTTAGCATATTCAGTTATGGATATATACTAATGGATTGTCATATTATGTATCTTTGCTGTTTTCATTATGGATGAATTATCAAGAGTTACTGATCCAATGAAATACGAGACGCCAGCCTTCTGGCATTAGATCTCATCCAAAGAAGAACAATCAAAGCTAAGGCGTGAAAGTGATGCATTCCCATCAGCAACATGTCTCGCGAAAGTACGAAGTGACTAAATAAAATTAACGGTGCATTTAGATTAATTAAACTTTGGATTTGATTCAAATCCAAATCAATTTTTTCTTATAATTTTTTTATAATTTAAAATTTTCTCTGTATTTTAATTATTTAAAATTTTAATCATTTTAAACATTTCATTCTCTTTATATTTTTACTCTTGATATCTCTATCATTCTCATATATTTTTTCATATCTTATTCTCGTCTCTTGTCAATTTTGAAATAGGGATAAATCCATCATCTTCAATTCTCTATTTTCATTTTAAATTTCAAATCATCTCTCTTTTCATTTAAAATTTTAAATGTGAGATTTGAAATATAAAATTTCAAGTTTGAAATCTAAAGCTACCAATCCAAACACTATTTAAATTCTTTCTAATAGAAAACAAATATCAAACATCATTTAGAGATAATTTCTCTAGAGTCATGATTCTCTCAAATGTATCATAAATGATATCAATGGTTATTTAGATTAGGGTCGTGCGAAAGTCATCCAATTTTGTACAGTTCAATCTAACACGAACAAATTCGATTAGATTCGGTATTTAAAAAAAAAAAACCCAAAGGACTAAAAAGACAAACAAGATTAGATTTCATTTTTGAGTTTGACTGGATAAGGGACCAAGTTTTTAAAGCCACTTGGTCTGATCCATTCTTATAAATTTATTTTAATATAATTATAATTATTTTTGATAAAGTTGATTCAATTGAATGTGAAGCTTGAATGTTAAGTTATAATATAGTTTAGGCATTTTGAAGTTTGTTGAATGTTATTATTAATTTAAATAATTTGAATTGTAACTTAAATGTTTTTTGTTATTGTTGGAGATTGTTATGAATTTATTATGATCAACTTTTAATGTTTTGTAATGAATTATATATGATTTTAAGTATTTTTATTATCTTAATTGGATTATTGAGTTAAAATCTTATAAATCATGTACAGTCTAGTTCAACTTTAAGTTAAATCTAGACCAAATTAGATTATAGATTGTCTAATCTAATCTAATTTTTTTTATAAAATAGATGATATCTTGTCACTTGCAGTCCTCGTTCAAAACTAATGGATTGCTTTGTATCTGTTCAAATTATAGCCGGGAAAAGAAGATTGACACGGTGGTTCGTTCTAGCCAAACCTTTCCCGTTTTAAACCTGATCCATTATTGGCTATTTGGCTAGAACACTCCACATGTCTGATTGTCAATTGAGTCTGAGGTCGATCACATTCTTTATCATGTTATTTACCACACGGCTATATACACATCATGCAATGCTGCGAGTAAATACCATACCAGGCAAAGGGTTGTTCAAACCAAATCTGTGCAACAAAGTTAGGAATCCAACTCATGCGGTAAGTTATGCAAGCCAATTTCACTGCAAGGTTGAATGACGAGAAGCTAATCCCATAATTAGATTGTTTGCAGGCAAGGGATACTACCCACAAACCCACGCTTGTCCAAAATTAACATAATCCCACCCTGCTTGTCATGCAAAGGGGATTTATTGATCAGTTTCCAGTAAGACGATGCAGACAGAACTCTATTTCTTTAAAACTCAAGCCCATTCCCTTCTGGAGCTCTTTCGCTTGATCCCATCAATTACATCTGTCGCCAGGCCATGACCACAAAGGAAAGGGAACGCATAAATGAATTTTAGAGAAATGTGAACGAGAACGGGGTCAGAATAAATTTTAAAAACATATTTAGTCAGAAGAATTTGAATTACAATATGCATTTATGATAGCAAAATAAAGTATTGCCCTTGTGCATGTCCAAAAAACACAATATGAAAATCCAATCGGCAAGCGAACTCCCGCATCGATCTTCATCTTCCTCCCAACTTTCGGCAGTTAATCAAAATTTCATCAAGCGGATCACACATTTCATCAAAGATTTAGTGAATGGGGCCTAGCGGAGAAAGTCCAAAACTCTGGCATCGAGCTCATGCTCGCCATCGCTGGTGGACGATGGATGGAAGGGGTCATCGAGGAGGATGAAGAAGGGTGGCTGCCGGTGGAGTTGTGGATGAAGGGATTGCCAGCAAGGAGGAGGAGGAGGAGGAGGAGGAGGAGGAGGAAGCTGAAAGTTAGGGCAAACAAGTCAGTGGCAATTTTGTTCAAAATTATCTTTATTAGGAATATTTGTGTCCAAAAATTTTCACTCCTAGGAATAGATTTGCATTCGCAGGGATCCCCCCGGGTATACTCATTCCATAAAACTTGGGAAAGAACCACTCCACTCCAAGAAATGAAGTCTATTATATACCAAAACACGTGTAATGACCTTTGCCCCACCCATTCTCATTTCCTTTGGCTCATTCCTTCCTATCAAACATGCCTTTTAGGAATTAATCATACTAAATAAAAAATACATAGTTGCCATTTTTCGGCGAAAGCCCGTTGTAAAGTTTGAGCTTTTAAAGTGTCAAGTTAACCATTTAAATGTAATTTTATGAATATGCATTTAAAAAAAATTGTCTTGAACAATTCAAGATCAGGTTCATCATCATCCATGTTTATTGCATTTATAAATGCGATCATTATCCACTCTTTTGTTTCTTGCCGTAAAAGAGTGCACTAACATGGTCTGCAAGTGGCATCAATTTAAGTTTGAAACATGTAGCAATAGCAAGATATACACAAGACAGGCCTACGTACACCCTGAACCAAATGAGAGAAAAAAATGTAAGATAAGTGAATACGGCAGTCAAAGAAACCACCACAGCAAAAGTAACCAGGCACTTGAACGTAGAAAGTTCCTTTTCATTTAGTTGGTTCGGGAATTGGCCTTTAATATAGAAGTCAGAAAGCAACTGGTCCTTGATCTGGAACGCATTCATTAGCCAAGAAGCAGCTTTGGTTTCAGAAGCTGGTATGTCATCAGTTGGGATACGCCGAACATGGATATGCACTTCTGAAGGATCGATCCCAAAGACATTGTCCAGAAAAGAAGGACATTGATTCTTGTACGCAATACTCACATCATATACTGCATTATAAGGTTCATCAGCCATAAAAAAGATGAATCAGATGACAAGCGAAAAAAGAAAAGCAAAGCCCCACCAGGCATCAAGTGCTTTACAATTACAATTCTCATGTTGAAAGATAATCAAACATTATCGGAGCAAATGCAGGCCTATGAACTGGCACCACATTTTCCATGGGGAAGTTATGGAACCAAAAATTATCTATCCTTGCTAAATCATATTTTTCAATTTGAGGTTTAACGTTGTCCCAGGAAACTAGCAGGTTTATCTACTTATGATCACACAAAATGCATGATTTTCTCAAATAGCTATTTTTGTCAATTGGCAAACTGTCCTTGAAAATTCAGCAGCAGAAAATTATAGGAGGAACCTGCATCCAGTGAGTCTCGTAGAACTTCCAAGCAAGCATAAAAACCTTTAGTTTTTGGAAGTAGCACGTTTTTTAGCACAGGAAGTCCAACTTCAGCTGCATAATTTTGACTCCTTTTGCTCTTCTCTTCGCTGCATAAAAAGCAATAATACTTGTTCATTAATGGAGTTGTATATTCACAGATTATAACATGAAGCCTATATTTTAGCGTTGCTAGTCAAAATAGAACTTGACAGCATAAATTCCTAGAAGATAGAAGGCCTTCTTGAATCATATTATTATCAAATCAAGACACAAGCACTTAGAAGTCAAAAGATAGTGAAAGGCAAGAGAGGAATAATGAGGCAGTACGTATAGTCAGTTCCTTCCGGAAAAATTGCTAGCCACAGAGGATCTTGAGGATTCTTTAATGTGGAAAGCGTACTGAGCAATATTGGCTCATCTATCTCCCACTTCCTCTCAACTGCAATGAACTCCAGAATGTGAAATCCCCAACCGAAGATAGGCAGCTTCATCAAGCTGCTCTTAAGAATGTATTTTATGGAGCCCAGGCTTCCTTTTCGGAGTGCAAGATTCCACAAGTACATCCAATCAACCTCAGTTCTGTGATTTGCCATAAGTAAAACACGTTCCTTCATAGGAATACTATCTCCAGAAAAGACCACTTTAGTTTTGTTTATCTTTTCAAATAAATAAGGCCATAGGGCTAGCCAAAGTCCAAAGAGGAATGAAACGGCCTTCCTACTAGAACGCATACTGAAAAGCCGCATTAAGACAGCCGCCACAGGTGTAAAATAGGCTAAAAACATAAACGCTGTAGAAATAAACACCACTAAACATAACAAACCCCTTAAAATCCTAATAGGGGTCAGAGAACGGTGCTTTAATCTACAATCAGATTTCAGAGGTCTGGAAACTTCCATCTTCTTCAAGGAACTGTTGGAAAACCTCCCTTCTGCAATAACGGGCTTTAATGTTATTTTAAGATTTCCCAAACTTTTGGACAGAAAGAACATTAACATGAATAATAAACAGTATTTATATACAATAAACTGAAGGGAAGTACATATTATTCATGTGGCAGTTGGCTCGGAGGTCCAGAGGAAAGCAGTAATTAGAACATGTCCATCACTCTTATATAGCTCTGCCAATCTGTTTCGTGAGTGAGTTTATGTAATCGCATACTGGCTGAGTAAACAAAAAACAGAAAATCTACTTATTTCTTCTACTCCAGCAAACTCAAAATCTGGTTTCTGATGTCCTGGCTTAATGGAACAAGATTTTAATTGGTTTCAGGTGTACAAATATCATTTGAGCTGAAAATGTTATTTTGAGTCCAATGAGAAACACACATGTAGTTGTGACAGACACCACAGAAATTGTTCTTGCGTCATTAGTTGTTCTCCAATTCATGCATCATGGAGTTAACCTTTCCGGATCACTAAATTCAATGTTCCTTCTACTAAAGACGTTTTCGTCTTTAATTTTGTTGAGAACAGACAAATCCTTGATATGGCAGCCTCAAACTTAGGAAATGATTACACAAAACAGATTTATTCTTTTGGTCAATTTCTCCACCTAAGATGAAATGCGAAAAAGTAAACAAATTGATGCACGGTAAAATTCTGAGGCAAAAGGATAGAAACTACTTTAAAGGTAAGCTAACTTCAGAAAGAATTTATTTTAAAAATCTCAAAAATTCCATGGTAAGCAAAGGCATAATAACTGGTGAAAAATATCATTTACTGAAAAAAGCAGAAAACCACTAGAAATACAGAACGGCTCAGACGAAAGACAAAATCACTCAGAATCTTGTAAACATTTTCCGCTTGGAGCACAAGAACTCTTCTGGTATACGGAAGCTTGTGTTTGGACGACCATTACAGCGGATCAACAATCTGATAAGTGCTCCAGAACATCTTCTCTGTCTAATAGAGACTAGTCTATTATTACGTCCACTACATTAAACCCAAGATATTGACGAAGACCCCATTCCCTTTCAGAGTATGTTACTGTTAAAGAATCATGCAATAAGCAGTAGAAATCTATGTTTCTGATCCCAAAATCCTGAAGGAAAAGTTTAAGAAACTTAGGGGGTAATTACAAGGAAAGGCAACATTATAAATCATGATTAAGGATTCTAACAAGAGAGATTATCAGGTAATTCCTTTTTGGCCAGACACAATGCACCGGCACCGCTACGTTTGAATAAAATCAATGGATTCTTGAAATTTGGCTCCTTAGGCAAAAGTGCTGATGAGAAAGAATTGTCTAATCAAGCCATCCCTTCCCCATAAATAAGGCAAATCTTTATCTTAAGGACTGCAGTTTCCAGTGTCAACTAATATCTCTTCCTCAAATCGTAATATTCGGTCAATAAAGAGCAGCAAATACAGGGCAGTGACAAATCCTGTTAAGTGTTATGAAGAAAACAAAAATATCTATCACGATCGTTTCTGACCGACCGCAAGCTAAAACTAAAGCATGAAAAGAAATAAGGAAAGAAAGAAAGGAATGAGAAAATAATTCAAACAAAATTATCAAACTTCGACGAATTTCAACGAGATTTACCGATCAGAAAATTTCTTACAAGAAAAGAATCCAGACCAGACAAAGTAGATATGGAGTTGAATCAAAGCAAATAAATAAGATAGAGAGAATTTACCTGTACCCAGCAAGAACTGACAAATGAGTTAACGAAGGAGATTGGAAGAATTATACGTTTTCGTCGTCGTTATTAAGTATCGAGTAAACTTCCTCCGGAAGGAAAGGAAAAAAAAAAAAAAAAGTTGGATCAATGAAACAGGAATTCTGAATCTAACACTGGGATATCGTTTGGGGAGGAATCAGAAAAGGTGAGCGTTCGGGAACCCCGCATCGTGATTCGTAAAGCTCAGAGGGAATGGATTTGTTTTGTACCCTTTCGGAATGGATGTCCGATAGGGCCCAGTAAGGACTTTAGCCGCCGCCGCTTGGTGATTGTAAATAACGGTTAATTATATGGTAACATTTTTATTTATATGCCATAAAAAATTTAATACACAGTTTGGAAAATAAATTTTTTTAACGGAATCAAGTTCTTAAAATAGTAATAAACCAACATAAATGAGACGAGAATATCAAATAAACAAACTGACCAAATGATAATTATATGATGTATTTATACTATTATATTCTTATTAATTTTTAGTTTTTATACTTAAAAATTTTGTTTTATGAATTTTGAAATTTAGGGTTTTTTATCAAATTTTTTTAGTTTATAATATTATATTCTTAGCTCAATATTTTCAATTTTATAATTGATTCATTCAAAAGAAATAAATGTGATTGGTTTTGGTATAACGAAAGCTTCTGCTGTGACATAATCCCACTCTATTTATTATAGGAAACGCATATTGAAGTGCGATGCCCTTGTCCTTCTGGGCAACTAGTTTCTTTTTTTGGGTATTTATTCTATATTTTCGTAGCATAAGTCACAGTTTAAAAGTTTTACTTGATCTAAAATATATAATATTTTTATAATTTTTTTAGTTATACTATCTTTATTTCATTTATTATTTATTTTAAAATAATAATTTATTAAAATTTTAATCAGCATTGTTAATGCATTTATATAGAATATTTAACGAGAATATAATTAATTTTTTTTAAAATTATTTAAAAAATAAAGTTCCTACTATTGTTTTTAAAATGGTGTAGTTATTCATATATGTTTTCAGAGATTTAAAAGAATAGCTTTGAAGCTATAAATAAAATAATAAAACTAAGAGATAAAGAGTTCGTTTAGATTTTAATTGAATATACTTGATTATAAAAATAATTAATTAATATAATTAATTTTAATTATAATTAATTATATTATAATACAATTTGTTTGGATATTATTTTTTAAAAATTAATTTTAACAGAATTGAATAAAGTAATAAAAATAGTCAAAATTAATTTTAGTTATACAAATTATCATAAAAAAATTTCTTTTTAAAATTAAATTATTGATAAAGTTGTATATAATATTATTAAATTTGTTAAACTTCATTTGAGAAGTAAAATATATTATTTAACTTATATATATAATTAATTATAGAAATTTAAATTACATTAATATTAACTTTTTAATTTATGTAAGTAATTAATTCAAAATATATAAGTTCAAATAAATTCAATGAAAGAGAAAGATATAATTCTTAAATACCAAATGTAACATCCTAATTTTTATATAATAAAGAAATTGTGGAATTTAGGTTTTGAAGAAAAAATGATAATAATAGGAATTTATATTATTTGAGGTTATTTAGAAATAATATTATGGTTAGGTATTTAATTATAAATTTAAAAATTTAAATTTAAAATCACATAAGCAATATTTAGTTAAGATATAATACATAAATAATTTTTTTATGTGTGTGTTAAAAAAAAGAGAATGTAGAAGGAACAAAAAAAGGGAGGGAAGAAGGTTGTTATTTCTAAGTCCCACATTGGTTAGATGAGGGAAGAGAAGAGGTGCCTTCATATATAAAAAGGAGGGGGTGTGTGCATTAGGAAGCATGAGAGGCTAAGATGCAATTTAGAAGAAATTGCAACTTTTGGCCCAAAGGTTTGAATAATTAAATTCAAACCTATAATTTTTTTTAATATAATTTTGGGACCACAATCCCATTTTTATATTATTTTTCTCTCTTCCTCTCACGTTGCTCTGCGTTTTCTCGCAAGGGAGGATTATTTTCTTTTTCTTCAGGTATGTTCAAACTTTCCTGTTTAGATTAGCATTTAAAAATTTATTTAATTACAAAATTAATTTTATAGTTATTTTCTAAACAATATTAGCTTTCTAGTGATATGATTATTTTGTAGGATAGAGTAAATATTCTGATTAGGATTTTTCCATAGGATAGTTAATCTGATGATATGATGGAGTAAAAATATAGGTTAAAACTCTTAGGGATATAATAAATATTATAGAATATTTTCTTGAGGTTGAAACTCATGTTTAAGAATTTTTGAGTTAAAATCTAGATCTATATGGTTGAATTTATGTAGAATCTGAGATGTAGGGATGAACCTCTGATTATTAGATATTTATTTAAGTATGAATAGATATTTTTGAGATTATAGAAAGGTGATTTGAGGCTTCAGGATAATTCTAAAATTTTTAATTTATTTTTGGACGAATTTTTAGAATATAGAAGGATGAAATTGTGATACTAGAAGTGATTTGAGGCTTAAAAATAGTTTATTAGAGTACGAGAATTTTAAAAAAGAATTTGGAAAGTTAAATGAGGCATAAATCTTAAATTAGTGTTAATATGGATTATAGATCTAAGACTTTCTAACTCTTTAAATTAGAGTTATTTATTTTAATGTAAAATTAATATATAGTATTATGAAATAACTATGTAGATTGTGTTGACAAAGATAGTGGTGAAAGAGGAGTTGTGAAGGGGAACTTGTTATTCAAGATACAAGGTAACCATTATTAATGTGTTGTGATGAGTGTGTTTGTGAATGGTTATGTGTTGTTTTGTTGTTTGGAAAAATTATGAATTATTGAAAATAAATACTGTATATACTTGTTTGAAATTATTGCCAAGTGGGTTAAAAATTTATTTTTGTTTATCTTGATGAGATATTATTGTTCGGATATATTCCTGTTTGGATATTTGAATGATGCATGACTTGTCAGGGTATTTTAATGTATGGTGTTAATGGGAATTTCTGTTCGGTTAATTATTACCACGTGGTAAGCCCTCATTGGACCCAATGAGTGGCGTGTCGCTTGGTCCAACTCACCTTTGGCCGGGTGATTTGGCGTTCGAGTATGGTGAAAGGAGGATATAAGGTGCAGTCATGCAATTAAATACTTGTTCGGTTTGTTTGAAAATATTGTTTGATTAAATATTTTGTGTGCCCACTTAGCAATCGCATGATTAGTTACATCCGCATGCATCATTACATATTAATTTTTGGTTACTGGGACTTTTAAGTCTCATTCCCCATGGTTAATATTTTTACAGGAGCGAATCCGGCCAAGAAAGCACCAGAGGTGTAATTATGGTGTATGAGACACCATCTTTTACGTTGCCTCTTATTTTGGATTATACAATGTATCTTGTGCTAACTTAGGACATATCTTGTCTATGGAGCATGTAAACTCTAATCCTTTTTATTAAATGCATTTATATGTCTAAGAGGATTATGTCTGTCCCTTTTGATTCATGACCTAATTTGAATAACATGCTATGAGGATCATGTCTGTCCCTCATGGTTCTAATTGCTTTTTGAGATATTTTAAGACCTGTGGTATATTGTCTTGGATGTATCATGGTAGAAATTTTTCTACCATGATAAGGGTATGATAAGGGTTCAATGGAAAAAAAAAATGATTTGTTGAATTAATAATTTACGAAAAATCAGTTTGTAAATTTGAGGGTGTTACACCAAACATCAATTTTATAATAATTAATAAAGATGATAATATAAAAGTTGATCTCTAATAATACTATCGAATATTAGCTATATCTGATGAAGATGTTATAGATGATGGTAAGAATGAAAATTCACGAACGGGATGATCTTGCTAATCATTATGCTCTATTTGATCTTCCCGCATCAGAATCAAAATTAAATTATCTTATAATGAAATTATATATTGTCATTGTTGCGACAACGATTTGAACTTGTATAGCATAATCGTACCTAGGCATATTGCATAAAATTGTAAACCTATTCTTTCAAATTCAAAATGTTTTTTCTATTATACACCGTAAACTTAAATTTAAATGAAATAATTAAAAACATCATTATTATTTATAAATCCATTTGATTTTATAAATCAAAAAGATGGTAGCATTCCCATCTATACAAATCAAGATATTCATTTAATGTTGAATAGCCGACATCTATCAAATAATATTTACCCTATAAAAAAATATTATAATCAATGTTTGCAACTTGAAAAGTCCAACATAAATAAATTAAACCAACAAATCTACTTAAAATGAGCGATGAGGGATGGGAGACAAGAGAAAAGTAAGATAACAGAGTGAGAGACGAGAGAATTAAACGTGCAATAACAAGAGTAATATTGACACGTAAGAGACTCTAACAAATAATTAATATTTTAATAGTAAAATTGAATTTATAAACAGTTTTCTGGAGCTTATTTTAAAATGTAATTCGATTCGACCTCAATAATTAATTGCCAAGATTTTTTACTGTTTGGGTCATTTTTTATTGAAATCGATTACGTAGCTTTAAAAATCCGATTACTTGTTCAATCTAAATAGGCTGAAGGATGTTTGGCAAGTGATTTTGGAATGGCTTGGAGTCAGCGGCTTTTGCGTAAAAATTGACTCCTTCTGCAGTCGGTAGCCATCACGTTTGATAAGAAGGCGCCGCCAATGGTTTTCTGAATAATTGGGCGAAAAGGGCCATTTTTATTTTCTTACTTTCAACTTCGGCAAACGCCCAACCCTCGCTTCCATTCTACACACTAATACTTAACATTATTACTTGCATGTTGGGTCCAAGAAAGCAATTTCTCAACCGCCTGCACCGCAATTCTCTTTCTTCTTCTCTTCTTTCTGTTAATCTGATATTGAACTTCACAGCACAGTGCAATTCAAAACACTAGTAAAAGACATCAAACTACTATTATTAATGGCCACGGAAAGACACACATACTTGCGCAAACCAGATCAAATTAGTCTCCCATTGCCTTATTTCTATATCAAATATGAAATTAAACTCATCATTAATGAAGATAATCGAATTTGATTGCGCCAATCAATTAATGCTACACCAAGACCTACTTTGTTTTTTTTATGATTTTTTTGTTAAGTAACCATCTTCGTAGAGATCATCAAGTTAACAAGTTGTTTGTATCTCAAAAGAAATATACTTTTAAATACTCAATCGATTTAATATGAGCAAGTGTGAACTTATATTTACTTCCTTTGTTGCTCATTTTTAATTATCGGATCATCTTTTTAAGAATTTGAAAAGGATATTACAAAAATGTTAAGAGTTTCTTATTCAGGTGCGGTTTGTAACTTTATGTATGCTATGATGTGTATTAGACCTGATCTTGTATATATAATAAGTGTGGTAAAGAGATGCATATACAATCTTAAGGAGAGTCATAGGGATGCTGTTAAATGAATACTTTATTATTCAAAAGGTGCTTTTAATGTTGGTTTGGTATTTGATAAGAATAACTAAAACTATATCTAACAATACTTTTGATGGACAAAAGTCTCTTTTTACTTGTATTAAAAAAATATATAAATAAAAGATATTTGGACAGATTTGGGTCCATCCGACATTTTGTGAAAAATGTTTAAAAAAATGGTTAAAATAGTTGTATGTTGAAACAGAGATAGTGAAAGGGACAATATACAATGAAATGGACAATATACAAAAATAAGATAAACAAATAATGAAGGAACCTGCATGGCGGTTAAGAATGAGAGTTTAGATGATCCAACTCAATAAAAAACTACAGTGTGGAAGAAAAATATGAAATAGATGAAGAGAGAAACCAAACAATGATAAAATGAAAAGATACAGTTTAACAGAGAGAAGAAGATACAAAGAACAATACCTTGAAGAGCGGAGGAAGCTGAGAATGTAGAATGATAAAGATGGAAGAGACATGGGGAATCAACAGAGGCATCATATACAATACCCATTTAACTGGACATTTGAAAGTTAGCAAATATGTAGAAAATTAGTAAAATATTAGAATATACCATAAAATCTACCAAAACATAAACTATCCTTATATCCACTGTTGGCTTGCTAAGAAAGTGTATAGATCCTCATAAGTTACAGTTTAATTTTAGTTTTTCATCGGTGTCCCTTGGAGTGTATGAGGTTAACGGAGGTAGATAAACAAAAGACAGATTCCTCTGAACCTTTTCTTTGTATTTGCATGGTTTAACCATCCCCTTATATAAAAAATAAAATAAAATAAAATAAATAAAAGTAAAGATCAAAGGTCCTTTTTTTTTTTTAAAAAAAAAAGGAACTAAACTGGTTTATTGGACAGTGAACCAATGAATCTGCCATTGATCCAGTCCAGAGAATGATGTGAGCCTGAATGAGTATTGGTCAAGGATTGACAAAACTCGTAAAAAGTTAGTTTTAAACAGCGGAAATCAGTGTTGAACCATTCCTTTTTTATTCCTTAAAAAAAAAACCATTCCTTTTTTAAATTCTTGATTTTTTTTAACCAATGTATACAATTATGCAAAATTATGCCGAATAAGTATTATAAAGAAAGATTAGTCACCAAATGAGCAATATATACGGTAAAAAATATAAATTATAATATAAGTATGAACAATAATATTTTTTAAAATTATCTACCTAATTCTTGTTTAGGTAAAGTTTTTAATTAAAGTTATCCCATTGATTTTTTATACGAGTTTTTAAAGATATTTTCTCACATTTTAAGAAATATATATAATCAATATAAAAAAGTTTAGATAAGTGAGATTTTAAGACTGTGCCAATTATGTATATAAATTTAATGAGCGTTTATAAAGGTATTTATACATCGATCATTAACAAATTATTTACATTAACAACAAAATTTGATCAGACAATTTTATAAATTATAAGCCAAATTCTTACAACTGAAGCAATCTTTTATTGTTGGGTTAGAACTATTATTTTGAATTTTAAGAAAACGTGAAAAATGAAGCAATTTTTTCTAAAAATATATATTTTGCAATGGTGTAATAATAAGACAGGTGAACCGAATTTAGAACCAAATACTGAAATCCCGCTTGATTTTTAAAGGGAGAATTTCACTCAAAGGTCATGGACAAGACTTAATTACTAGTAGATCTCAAAAAAATATAAAATTTCAGCTTAATTTAGGGGACTAAAATAAAAATAATTTTAATAGTGAAAAAATTAAAATGCTCTTTACTTATTATGCAAAATCATTAATTATCAATTTAAAATACTTTTCACTTATTATGCAGAATCATTAATTATTAATTTTATTATTTTTCTTATTAATTTACTAATATGAGTTATAAATTCTATCTGTTTGTCAGATAAGCATCAACATTAGTTGTTAATTTATTAATTTTTTTGTTAATTTACTAACATTAATTTTTAATTATAACAGTTGTTAGTAATTTGTAATTGATATTAATAAATTAACAAATAAAATTAGTAATTTAATAATTGATATTGTTGTTTATGATTGAACAATTGATATCAAATCTCATATAATTATTGATATATCAATTCATGTAATTTACAACTTATATTAATAAATTAATAAGTAAAATAAAAAATTAATAACTAATAATTATGCATAACAAGTTAAAGTTACTTTAATTTTTTTATTGTTAAAATTATTTATATTTTAATTTTATAAACTAAACTGAAGTTTTAATTTTTTTTTTTAAATTTACTAATAATTAAGTTCCATATATATTTCTTAATTGAAATTCTCCATTTTCAAAAGACAGAATCGCCACTGGGAAGCATAGAATTGGGGAAATACTTGTGGAAAAGGGGTTCAAGTCTACTTTTTATATATTATTCTATATATTAATAATAGAAGATTCCACTTCCGCGTGCTTTGCTCTTCTTTTTTTTTTTTTTTTGAGCCAAACGCGTGCTTTGCTCTTTATCTTTGCCGAATTGTGCTCTTTCCGTGATCGTGTGTTTCGTGCCCAACACATCGATACCTTCTAGTTTTCGATACCGGGTTCCTTCAAGAATTCATCTCTTTTTCCTGGAATCGATCGATCGTTCGTTGTTGCTGCAGATCGGTAACTTTTGTTCTCTGAATCTGTTGATCTGTTAATTTCGTATCGTGTCCGCTAGTTTAAAACTCTGATTTCCTGTGTATCACTCTCGAACTGACTCAGAAACGGCGTGTAGTTCACTATTACTAAGAAAGAAGATCTGAGGTTGCGCCTATTGAATTTGGGAGGCATTTTTCTTTCTTTTTTCATATGGTTATTGATATTGATTTTGTTGAATTGAAGTAAGGGCTTGTTTCTTGATATTATTGCATATTTGAATGTCTCCTGGATGATTGTGGGTATCTAGCGATGCGAACTAATTTCTGCACACCATATCGGGCTTCGTGTTTGATTAATTAGGCCGAGTGTAAATGTAACGATTGTTGTTCTTGTTAATTTGAATCCCCTCCTCGGGAGGCCAGTGAAGAAGAGTTCTTTGTTTGCACCGTTATCACCCATGAAAAACGATAGAAAACTTTTGATTAGGACTTATTACCTAGGATTTCTCAAACTGGTTAGGTTTCCCCCAAATTATGTGTCTGTAGATTGCCGTAAATAATGGGTTAGATTGGGCTTTTGCAGGCATCTGAAGGTTGGGACCCAATAGATGGCAAGCAGGTTTGGGGAATCAACGAGTAGATCACCTCCAAGCCCTACCTACTCCAGCAACAATAGTAACAGCGATGCAGGCAATTTTGAATGCAACATATGCTTTGACTTAGCACAAGACCCTATCATTACTTTATGCGGTCATCTTTTTTGTTGGCCTTGTCTTTACAAATGGCTTCACTTTCACTCACAGTCACGAGAATGCCCTGTGTGTAAGGCCCTCATTGAGGAGGAGAAATTGGTCCCCTTATATGGGAGGGGGAAGTCCTCATCTGATCCAAGGTCGAGGTCTGTTCCTGGTGTGAACATACCACATCGTCCAGCAGGTCAGCGACCAGAAACTGCCCCACCACCTGAATCAAACCACTTTCCTCAACATGGGTTTGGATTCATGGGTGGGTTGGGAGGGTTTGCTCCAATGGCAACAACAAGGTTTGGGAATTTTACATTCTCCACAGGATTTGGTGGTTTTATTCCATCGTTGTTTAACTTTCAACTGCATGGATTTCATGATGGAGCTATGTATGGCAATCCAACTGGTTTTCACTATGGATTTCCTAATTCATTTCACGGTGGCCATGCTCATGGATATTATCCTCGTCACACAGGTCAAGGGCAACAGGATTATTATCTAAAGAGGCTTCTTATGCTCGTTGTTTTTTGTGTTGTTCTTGCTTTTATTTGGCAATAGATCGGATAAAGCTGAACCTGCTATAGGAAACAATGTTTTTTCCAAACTTAAGTTAGTGTAGATCTGGTGCAATTTGTAACTAAGGAAATTGTTCATATTTTGCTTTATCAGTACTGCTGTAGCTATCTTTGTGATTAATTTCTGTTAATCGATTTGCATGTTTCCCGTGTGCTTGATCTCATATGCAGAGAAAGCAAGGAAACACATGGATGGACGTTAGTTTGATGATTATTATGGTTATGTCTGCTTGAGTGAGGTAGCAGAAATAATTAGTTATACTTTTCTTGCCATTTCTTCTGGGGTTGAAAATTAAGGCTTTTATTTAGTCTTCACTGTTGGAGATGGTGTCGGTGATTACTGATTTGTCTATTGGATTGGCTAGGGTTATGCATCGCTATTCTTAAACCCGTTTGAAACTAGCGGCACCTTTTTCTCATGCTTGGTATTTTTCTTTTGATTATTATTATTATTATTATTTTGAATCCTGTAGGTATATATCATGTATCCCCTCTGGTTTACGCTGTCTTCAAGACTAGTCTTGTAACGTTGGGTGACAACCTCGCGTCACCCATCTTGGCCATTCTAGGTGCAATTCGTAGGGGCATCCTATTATAATAGCTTTATATTTTAAGGTTCCAGCCTGTTTATAGTATTAAAACTTGAGTGTCCATGGAATCGGCATTGGTAAAATATGATGTTAAGATTAGGCCTTTTCTTTTTATATTATCCAAACAAAATATTTTAAATTTATGAATTTTAAATATAAGATTTTAAATTTAAAATTTAAGTTCATTAATCTAAGCATCATCATCTCAAGTAGTAAAATTTAAGTAACACTAGACTTTTTCTTTGTTTTTTTTTTTGGGGGGGGGGGTCAAATACTGTCTATTTTAAGGTTGAAAGTCATTTTTGCACTTTAATTTTATTTGAAAGGATACTGATCATCCTAAAGTTCATTGTTGGTCAATTCTACTCTACAGCTTTAGAAATTTGGTACATGGTGCCCCTAAATTTATTGCCCCATCATGTAGGTCTTACAGTTAATTTTTTAATATTTTTTATTATAAATATTTAATAGTGGTTTTCACCATTTTTTATATTTTTATAATATAGAAAATACTACTCTCTTTTCCCTCCACTTTCTCTCTTCCCCTCCTCTCCTAGCAATCACCAATTACCATAGGGAGAAATGGACAGCTCCATTTTCCTCCTCCTCCTTTCCTCTATCTTTACACCTCACTTTTTCTCTCATCTAACCTATGTCCCCCACTTTCCATTCCATTTAGGGGTGGAAATAGGCCAGACTTTTAACAGAGACATATAACATATCCTACTTACTAAATAAGTTTAGGTTAGATTCAGACCTTTAATTAAGTCTATTTAATTAAATAAGTCAGACTTATTTTTTCAATGCCTAGCTTACGAGCCCAACAGACCAGCATATATATAAGTATATATATATATATATATATAATGTATTATATCACAAACACATCAATTTCACCATATGATTTTTAATCAATTTATTCTTTACTACTTCTAGTTATATTTTTAATCTTATTATTAAAATGCAAGCATATTTAAAAGACTTTATTTTTAAGTAAGTTTTAAATAGGCTTGTAGGATAAACTAAGTTTTAAGTAGGCTTGGGCCTGAGTTATAAAAAAACCCTTATATAAGCTTTAGGCTAGGCTCAAGCTTCTAATTTTTCGTATAAGTTCAGGCTTATTTAATTAGAATCTAGCTCCCCAACCTATTTTCACCCCTAATCCCATTCCTTCTATCTTTAGACCAACAAAATCCTTCGAAACTTCAAAATCCTCCCAATCTCCCCACTTTTTGTTTTAATTGAGCATTTTTTTGTTTTAACCGATCATTTATAATTTAACATGTTAAATTTATTAATTCCTAAAAGTTAAAATCTTAAAATTTTTCCCTTAAAAATAAATCAAGCGCATTTATATTCTTATTAAAAGATTATATAATTAGAGTATGCATTTTAAATAAGTTATATATATATATATAGAAATTTCATAAAAAGTAATAAAAATAAATTTTTTTATTAAATTAATTTTTGGATAAAAATATTAAACCAAATTTTCGCTAAACTTCAAAAGTGTGTTTTGTGTTGGGAAAGTTGATCATTCATTAGCAATTTTAATCTTCAGTGATTAATATATTTAATAGATCAAATTATAAAAGCTTGATTAAAACAAAATAAACTACATGACCTCATTTAAAATGAAAAAAATTATAATGATTTGTGAATTTTTTTTCTTGTTTGGTTAGTATTCTAAATTGCTTGAAGCACTTTTTTTTTATTTAAAAAAAAGCTTTCCAAGGATAGGATATGCATCTATATTTAAATACTGCTTAGAGAGATATTTATAAATTATTTATCAACAAGATTTTTATACCTACAATGAGATTTAAATTTATAATTTTATGAGTTATGAATCGAATGCTGGAATAATCTTTGAACGAGGTCCTTCCAAGTTACGTTTTTTTTTTTGAATATCCAACATGTGCTCCTCGATTTTTGGAACTATTCAGCGTGGACTCCTATCAGCCCTTATCCGGGCCACCCTGGTGACATGGGCTTCGGTGGAGCCTCTGGGATATCGTAATTTAATGTGCATTTCATGAGAAGATGCTGATGAAAATGCCGAGAAATTATAAGGGTAACTTTTCCTGCCTTGTTGAAAGGGCGGGGAATTACTTACTTGAAAATTGAAATAAAACAAAGTCCAGTCCTGGCTAGTGGCCGGTCGGTCTCCTCCGCAACTTCCTTGCAATTTACCCTCCACTTCCATTCTTCCAAATCCTTCCCCTGCCTGCATCTCTCTGTCTCCTTCTTTACTACACATATATACATGCACATCATCATACATCATTCATGCCTCCTCCATCTAACTACCAAAGTTGCCCCCTCTGCGCCCCCTCAATCACGCCATGGCAACCGCCATGGTTCCCAAGTCCTCCAAGAAGTTTTTCTCTGCCAAAACCTTCAGGTTCATTATCTTCCCGAGCTTCCTTTGTCCCTCTCCCAAAAACAAAGCGCCTTCCGTTACCACCACAAGAGATCAAGACGACGACATATTGGACCGGAAGGAGGAGGCGATGAGGCATGTTTTTGATCACTTCGACGTCGACAAGGATGGCAAAATTTCATGCGAGGAACTCATGGACTACCTGGCATCGGCGGGGGAGTCGGTGACTCGGAACGGGGCCGAAAGGGTGATCCGTGACTTCGATTCCGACGGCGACGATTTATTGGAGTACGGGGACTTCGTCCGATTATTAGAGCAACGGGACAGGGATGAGTCGAGTGATGATGTTCTGAGGAGTGCCTTCCAGATGTTCGAAGTTACTAAAGGCTGCGGCTACATAACGCCCAAGGGTTTGCAGCAGATGTTGCGCCAATTGGGAGACTGCAAATCCCATCAGGAGTGTGCCGCCATGATTCGCGTCTTTGATCTTGACGGCAATGGGTCCCTTGACTTCCATGAGTTCCAGCAAATGATGATGTCTTCGCCTTCTTAATCACTCACCCCTCGCTATCCTTTCTTTTCTTTTCGTTACGTTGCCTTCTTCTGCAACATCCAGCATTCAATAGGGAGCGAAATCCGAAACGTACTCTGCCTTTCAGGCGGCTAGCTAGTCAAGGCTCTTTTGAATTGTGAAGACAATAAACAAGTTTAATACTTTATGCAATAAATAGCTTGTGGTGCAGTTTGGTGGAAACTCTTGGGTATGTACAAGAAGTTATTGTATATCCACGAGGAGCGACGCCGGATGCTGTCTCGCTATATGACGTGTCCGCGTTAATTCGCTGATCATTGCTCGGACAAGTTATGTTGATAGAGTAGTGTTTTCTTACCTTAGTTCGCTTGTTTATAATGGTGACATATGGCATGCGGTGTTACTATCTCCGGAGCCCAACAATAACGCTGCTGCCATTCCCTGTGTGCACGTACCTGTAATGTTGCCTTCCAGGTTTAAGATTCCATGTGATCTAGTCCTCTGCTCTCTCGCTCGTCCCATTTATAAGCTATATTTTAAAAAAATTATTTAATTTTATTTATTACTCATGATATGACTTTTTAAATAATATTTATAAAATATTTTTAAAATTATTTTTATGAGAGAGAAAAATAACATAACATTATTTTTTAAATTTGTTATATGAAAATATATTTAAAATTTTATATATTTATATTTTTTTATATTGATATTAATAAGCTTAATAAAAATGAAAAGAATAACAAAAGTATTTGCATTCTACGAGGAAACTTAAAACATTAGGTCAAGTCAAATTATAAATGAGTTTATCCAACTTTTTGCTCAACCGACCAACAAGTTGCCCGAAACTGTGGCTCCTATTTTTTTTTTTTTTGGGTTGAAATATTTCCCTTTTTATTTTAAATTATGTAATAATTATATAAATTTATTTTTTAAAACAAAAACTATAAACTTTTAAAATATCCCTACATACATAATTATTACACTATAAAATCCTTTTATTTTTTTCCCACTTGAAAAGTAATATTAAAAAATCATCATTAATAAAACATTAGTTTTCTCAAATTGTCTTATACTCTTTTTGTTTTAAATTATAAAACACTTTTAGATAAAATTTTACATACCAATAAAAGTCATTAAATACACTTTACAACATTACTTTTTCAAGATATAAATGTAAATTTTTAAAAATATTCTTTATTTAATATTTCATTAATAAAAGAATATTGAAGAGAGAAAATATATGAAAAGGATGATATTAAAAAACTATCATTAATAAAGCTTTATTTTTATTAAAGTATTTTATATTTTGAGATACTAAATCTTCTTTAAAAATATTCTATAATTTAGAACAGAGTAACCATTTTGAAACAATAAAATACCTTCTAAGTTGTTTTATAACTTAGGGCGGAAAGAACATGAAAATAACCTCACATCCACCAAAACGCAGCTATGCTTAAATGGCAATGCTCCTCGCATAGGAAGCTTCTCAAGAGCTGATACCGTGCTGGAGCATGTAACGTGATTGATCATTTAAGAAGAAAAGAGCGTTTTGATTTCAACGGACTATGCGAACCGAGCGATCAAGTCATACCCAAATGCCAAGGAGTACATGCTTATAATATTTAGAAGAGATCCACGGGCAGATGGTAAACACGTAGCACGTCTCTGAAAGTGAGCGTGCTCAAGAAGATAAATCGTTTCAATCTTGACAAAGTTCTAAGGTTACTGTGAAAATAAAGGATTCTTCAAGAAAATATCCTCAAGTGTCGTGGGAACTGGGAGTTACAACATAGGAGTGTGATATTTCCTCTCGCAGGGTGTGGGGGGACGGCACACCACAGCACCAGGTGTAATTAAGCTTTTATTAGATCAGACAAACAAACAAATCGGGTGTATTTAATCAATAATATTCCCCATAAATAAGTAGTACTAATTACAATTACAAGTTCAATTCAATTACTCTATCAGAGCTATGCCTCGTAGCTTTAGCCTCAGTTTCTAATATCAACAGGCCAAGCTTTATCTCTCTAAAGAATGAAGATCCGTATGTAGCCAAGCTCATGGGGGAAAATTCCCCGTCATCCAAATATGGTGAAGGGTGTTTTCAAGACCATACTTACGAACTGCCAATTGGCCTGCCCTAAATCCATCACCATAAACAGGGGAAATGTCTGATTCGATCTGATGTTTGAAGAATTCCCCGAGCTTCCTCTCAAATTGTGGTCTTTTGGCTTTCCTAGATACATAGGATGAAGATGAGGATGGGGCTGATGATGCAGATGAAAGCTCAGACTCCAACCACATATGCGCCACAACCTGACAGATACCTTCTTCAACATCTTGTCTGAGAGTCCGATAACCTTCATATATATGCATTTACAGCAAATGGTAACCATGCTAGAGGAATAAAGACAACAACAAAAAAAGTTTGACACATCCCACAAGGCATGTTTAAACGGTTGTATCAAAGAAAAATGAACACCAAAAGCAGAGAATCGATCAAAAGACCACCTGAAAGTATTCCATAAAATTGAAGAATACCTTTAAGTCGCAGCCATGCATGCATCATTTCATGAGCTAGGATTGATCCAGTGAGCAACCTAGAAAAGAAACAGTACAGCAATAAGAACTCAGGCAATTATATTTTCCTCTTAGGAAAAAACTAGTATTCTTCCTAAAAGTGAGTACACCCAAACCAAACATGAATATTCAATTAGAAAACGGTTCTTTTTGTCATGCAGAAAAAGAATCATGTGTATTATTCTCCAGATACACCAGAGTAAGAAAATGAAAGCAAGTTACAACTTCACTGCTTCCAATTTATTTTTCCAAGATTTATTTAAATTGCATAATAAGGACAATACAGGTCGTGAGTTAAACACTACTTTAATCACACTTAGTATGTGTTTGGATACAGGAAATAATCGATTTTTGGCCCAAAAAATCGATTCTCCACAAAATTATCCAAACACTCAACATTTTGGTTAATCGATTTTTGAGTCAAAAATCAAAAATCGATTTTTTCTTCGAAGCTGGGAATCCAAGCGCCTGTGGAAAAGCTTGGGGAAAATTACAAACAAAGCACATAACTTTATAAAAATAAAACCAAATTCTCTTCCCTTCTCTTTCTTTTCTTAATAAAATTCAAATATTGTATCCTCAAAAAATTGATGTTTGGTATTTAAGAATTAAATTATATAGTAATTTATATAGTTAAAATTGATTCTGATTAAATTATCCAAACATCTTTAAGTTTGTTAAAATTAATTTTAAAAAAACAGTATCCAAATAAATTACGTTATAACATAATCAATTATGATTAAAATCTACCACTTAATCAATTATTTTTATAATATATTATACCTAACTGAAATCTAAACGGGAACTTACATTCTTCTCCAAACTTTCTGCAATTACATATTCACCTAGTTTCATGTTTACCATACAATTTTGTTTCCTTTGAAAATTTTCTGGTTGCATTTTGGATTTGTTACTTGTTCATTTATTTATCTGGTCATGGGCATCAAGTTGCCTCCTACTGATGCAAGTTACATTGTAGGCCCAAATTGCAGTAAATCATACCTGGGAAGGCCATACAAGATGAGAATTGCTGTCACATCACAGCGTCGAGTAAGTTTGTAGGGTTGTGTTCTCATGTCTACTGCTCTATTGCCTGCTCCAAACCGAGGTCGCCTCAAGACCTGGTCAAGTTAGAATGCAATAAACCATAAATGTTCAGTCAGTTGAGGTTCTTAACAAATTCTATTCATATATATATATATTTGTATGTATGTATCAAAAGACCCAAATAAAACACAGCAGGAATTTACAGTGCTGATAGTCTGCTCTTCGGAAAGGCAGAGTCCCCGGGTCTCAGGCATGTGATAGTGGCCCTGGATAAGATAAACAGATAACCGGTGAATAACAAGTAACAAAGGAAAAAGGGAACACTTGACTGAACCTAGAACTAACTCTTTATCTTAAAAACTATATTATGAAGTAGCAGGATGATGTCTTGCAATTGTTGACTTTGAAACAGAAGCACAAATCCTTTTCTTTTATCAGAACTTAAAAAGACATGAACATCAAAGTTAATTATTAGACATGCTTTGTGCATAAAATATCTACAGAGCTAAAATTGATGAAATAAAGTTTTAGCAACCGTGAGTGACAAGAAAAGTGATTTTATTTTTCATATCAATTACTTGTGAACATATCGCTAAACACCAAAACACAAGTTCCTTGTGTGTCCAACAGCTGCATGTAACTATGATACTGTCAGCTAATGTATTTACCGCAACTTGGTAAAAAATGCGTTTTCACTTACATTCTTCTCCCCCTCTCTTGCTTCATTCAGTGCTTGTCTTTCAACCAAGAGCAATGGAACTTGCTGTTCCAGTCTCATATGAAGACTTTCATAAAATTTTTGTATGTCACTATAAAGGGGTTGGCATTCGCTAGTATCCATGATAGCAGAGTCCAGACATTCCAGGCACAGCTTTCGACCATCATTAAGAGCAATGTATCCTGTCTCTCGTGGCTGCATATGTGAAAGGAAAATCTTTTAGCTGTATTGTTTCAGTTTAACCAAACAGGGTCATTCATCATTCCTTAGCCCAGCCAACAAATATTTGGTCATATGAACATATTGCATATAGACTGACCTCCATACGCTCGCAGCTGCAACAGCGTGGAGTACCATCATGTTCGTGAGAAGGGCAATACTTCTGGATCCAGAAAGGATGTGCTCTATATTCAATAAGACCAGCAGGGTTTGTTGGAATCTGTCAAAAGAAATACATTTTCAAATATTAACAACAAGCAAGGAAATATATGGCTGGATTCAAGGGGGAAAGCAAACTAGCATGTTATTATTACAATTCCAACATACCGGAATATATAGAAAATACAGCCATCAATTATAAAGCTTACTGATAATGCATCTGCTTGCTATAGCAGCAGACATTAAAACATGGGACAAAGGTGAAAGAAAGTAAGAAACATAAAAATTTATACAC